CTTCGGGTGTTCGTTGATGGCCACGTCGTTACTGCTCTAATTGACACTGGTGCCCAAGTATCTGTTATGAGTTCTCCACTTTGATCTCGCCTGAAAAAGGCTCTCACGCCGGCTATATTCTCTACTGTTCGAGTTGCCAATGGAAGTCGAACATCGGTGCTTGGTATGTGCACTGCCCGCGTTACTGTTGCTGGCCACCACACTTCCGTTCTCTTCGCAGTCCTCGATGCTTGCCCACACGACGTCATCCTTGGAATTTACTTCTTAACCGCCCACTCCGCCCTCATCGATTGTTCTACCGGTATCTTACAGCTCGAATTGCCTTTGTGCTCCGATTTCACTCCTCCAAGTCGCACTCGGCTACGATCCGTGGAGTCTCTACGGCTACCGCCCCAGGCTGCTATGTACATTCCTCTGTCGCCCTTCCCGTCCGTTCCTGATGGAGACTATCTGGTAGCTCCCCTCATTGATTTGACCCTTACGCACCACATCGCACTATCACATACTATAGTGAGTGTTGCTAACAACACAGTGCTACTTCCAGTTGGTGCTACTTCCAGTTCTAAATCTCTCTACGTCGACCCAAGTGCTTTCCCAAGGCATCACTTTAGCCGATCTTTCCACCCTTGATGAATGTTCGATTTGTTCTTTTACACCTGACACTAAGACCATGACGAAACCTGTCATCACCTCGCAAAACAAGGCGTTCCTCGACAAAATGATATCCAGCGACCTCTTACCTTCCGAAGTTGTGGCGCTCCGGGGTGTTCTATTTTCTTACTTAGATTTCTATGACGTCGACGACTGTCCCCTGGGCCGCACAAGTGCCGTAACCCACCGCATCGACACCGGCGACGCCAGTCCACTCCACAAACGCCCTTATCGCGTGTCACATGCTGAGCGCCAAGTAATACAGATGGAGGTCGGGAAAATGCTGAGTAAAGACGTCATTGAGCCTTCATCGAGTCCTTGGGCCTCCCCTGTGGTCTTAGTTAAAAAGAAGGACAACTCCTGGCATTTTTGCGTCGACTATCGCCACCTGAATCGGATCACCAAGAAAGACGTTTATCCTTTACCTCGAATCGATGATGCGCTCGACTGCCTCCACGGTGCCAACTATTTCTCGTCCCTTGACCTTCGATCCGGATACTGGCAAATTTCGGTCGACGACCGCGACTGCGAGAAGACAGCATTCATCACACCCGACGGCCTTTACCAATTCAAGGTCATGCCTTTTGGGTTGTGCAATGCCCCGGCTACTTTTGAACGTATGATGGACTCTCTTCTTCGCGGTTTCAAATGGTTGACCTGCCTCTGCTGTCTGGATGATGTAATAGTTTTCTCGCCCTCCTTCGAAAGCCACCTGTCTCGTCTCTCGGCAATTCTCGACGTTTTTCGTTGCGCTGGCCTCCAATCGAATTCGTCAAAATGCTCATTTGGACGTTGGCAGATTAAACTACTCGGCCATCTTGTTGACGGCACTGGTGTTCAACCCGACCCTGACAAAGTCCGTGCAGTCCGAGAATTCCTGGTTCCGCATTCCACACAAGAAGTTCGCAGTTTTATTGGGCTCTGCTCATACTGCCGCCGCTTTGTTTTCAATTTCGCGGATATTGCTAGGCCCCTCACGGATCTCCTCAAAAAAAATGTGGCCTTTTCTTGGGGAAGGGACCAAGAACATTCCTTCGCGTCGCTAATTACCACCCTCACATCACCACCTGTGTTGGCTCATTTTGATCCAGCGGCTCGAACAGAGCTTCGCACCGATGAAAGCGGCCATGGCATTGGTGCTATACTCGCTCAGATACAGAATGGCACCAACCGTGTGATAGCCTACGCTAGCCGCCTTTTGTCGCAAGCGGAACAAAATTATTCCATCACTGAGCGGGAATGCTTAGCCCTCGTTTAGGCTATTGTGAAATTCCGTCCGTACCTATACGGACGTCCGTTCGCAGTCATCACGGACCATTATGCGCTTTGCTGGCTGTCGACGCTTAAGGACCCTACAGGAAGACTCGGCCGATGGGCACTTCGATTACAGGAGTACACGTTCTCGGTTGTTTACAAATCTGGAAAGCTGCACAGCGATGCTGACTGCCTATCCCGGCACCTTGTTGATCCACCTAGCTCCACTGATTTGGAATCCGATGCCTGCGTTTTAGCCATCACTGACTTTCTAAACGTGGCTGACGAACAGCGCTGAGATCCATCGCTGCTCACCATCATTGACCGCCTTCAATAGCGTTATGCTGACCCTTCTTTTAGCAGATACCTGCTTCAAGACAACGTTTTGTACTGCCGCAACCTACACCTCGACGGCGCGGAACTTTTACTCGCCGTACCGCATCACCTGCGAAAGGATGTTCTGCGACAATTCCACGATGCTCCAACTTCTGGACATCTAGGAGTCTCCAGAATTTACGACTGCATTCGACGACGAGTATTCTGGAAGGGTCTGTACCGCTCTGTTTGCCGTTACGTCACATCTTGTGACCTCTGCCAGCGCCGAAAGAAGCCGTACGACTCCCCCTGCCGGTCTACTTCAACCTATTGAAGTTCCAGCCGAGCCATTTTATCGAGTGGGGTTGGACTTGCTAGGCCCCTTTCCTACTTCTACAACTGGAAATAAATGGATTGCAGTGGCCACAGACTATGCAACTCGGTATGCAATCACTCGAGCGCTACCAACCAGCTGCGCAACCCACGTTGCCGACTTCCTGCTGTACGACATTATTCTTCAGCATGGCGCTCCGACTCACCTGCTCGCAGACCGTGGTCGCTACTTTCTATCTCGTGTGGTTGATGATCTACTCCGATCTTGTGCTACCCTGTCACAACTTCACCACATCTTACCACCCTCAGACTAACGGCCTTACGGAGCGACTAAACCACACATTGACGAACATGCTTTCCATGTACGTATCTACCGACCACACTGATTGGGACTCTTCCGTTCGTAACCTTCGCCTATAACTCGTCGCGTCATGAAACAGCGGGCTACTCTTATTTTTATCTACTCTTCGGACGTCACCCCTTACTGCCCTTCGACACACTGCTTTCATCAGACCACCCATTCTCCACCTCGTTTGCTAAGGATGCAATCACCCGTGCCCTCATGGCACGTGCGGTAGCGCGTGCTCGGTTATCGTCATCGTAGACAGCACAGAAGTCTCTCTATGACCGTCGACATAGAGATGCCGTTTTTTCTGCGGGATCTCTTGTTCTCCTGTGGCTCCCATCTCGACGTGTTGGCCTCTGCGAGAAACTACTATCGTGATACGCTGGGCCCTACCGAGACATTCGTCAGGTCACACCTGTGACCTACGAGATTGCATCTACCACAAACTCATCAGCTGCTGCACCCAGAACGGAAGTAGTCCGCGTTCCTCGTCTCAAGCCCTACAACGCCGACTCGCTCATTTAACAGGCACCGAGACGGTGCCTTACGGGCCGGGGTGATGATACGTGTATGGAACTGTCGCCCCGACACAGCTGAATTGGCACCCAAATGAAGAAGACAACAACTCTCGGTTGGACTCTCGAGTTTCTCGAGAGTCCAACCGTCGAGAAGACTGTTGGACTCTCGAGTTTCTCCCGTTGGCCTGCTTGACTGTGCGCTCTCTAAGCCGTTAGCAAGACCAGCTCTCGGTGAATAAATCTTCCCCGTAACAATATTTCAGACTTCTGTCCATGACATAAAATGGTAGGTGCGACAGTTATTATTGCTGCAGTTACTAAATGATACCGACAGAATTATAGGCCTGGTAGCGCTTGAAACAAGCAGCTAGTAATGTTCCCTGAGCGAACGACGTCTGCATAAGGGACACGCGCTTATCGTATCCAGGAATCGAACTTGTATGTCCTTGAGCTTTTTGTTTTATTGCGATGGAAATTATATGGACACTCTCCGCTAGATTTTGCTGCCGGCATCAACATTGACGTTGCCATCAGTCACCGTATATGTATACGTATCTATATATATATATATATGTGTATATGTAAACGTATGGTAGTTTTGGAACGTCAAACCCCTCATATGAATCAATATATATGTAAAAACAAGAAAGAAAGATAATCGCGAAAAAGACTCCGGCGCGAGGAATCGAGCGTGGTACCCCTGAGTCACGAATGCGAGGTGCTAACCACTGGGCCACGGAGGAGCACCTCCTTCAACGTTCAAACTGCAAGCTATTTAGATCTACTACTTACCGCTGTTGACAGGCATCTCGGGGGTAACTATCGTGCTTTGCAGAATTACCAGCAAGATGGCACAATGAGTGCGTGTCACCACATCGTCACGATGCAGCGGCACGCTCTCATCTTTCATGTGTACTCTGCCCCACGGAGAGGAGGGGGTGGACACACACTCACCCACTTTTATCTTGCGATGGGGAGAATTGTACGTCTTAGCTGGCCTTCGGCTTTCACTGGAAGGATGCTGCTGTACTTACCGGGCGCACAAAGGTCGCTGCAATTGTTGCACAGTCTCCGTTTACGAAAAGGGCACACTTTTCAGACACAGCAAAGTAACAACTGAGACGCTTATTCGCGTTCATCTGTACCTGTGAGTACAAACGTTTCATGCATCATTTGTGCTGTATTTGTGCACATTTCGATTTGCTTGCCATTCAGCGCATGATCTTCGGATTTGTTGATATCGCGTTCATTGCTTCACCTTTGCAGCGAAACTGTTACTTTTTGTGCTTGAAAACTCCAACTAAAGGACATCATTTTAAGACAACTGACAAAGCTAAAGCAGCTTGTGCTTTAAAAACATTCTGAATGAGGCCTGCCTTGATGCCTAGAAAAGTGGTGTGTCAATGCCAGAAGAACATATTTGAAAACCTTCTGTTGTGTTGTCTTATCAATACATCTTTTTCAATTGACTCACTGACACTACTTGTTGGACTTACACTATTCCTTGTGTAGATTTCAAAATATGGTTGTTATGTGCGAGTGGTCTTGAGGCGTTGCCATTAAAATGAGTGTTTTCGGTGCAGGTATGCTGGAGTCCGAACTATGGTAGTGCCAACTGGCTGTTTTCAGCAGGACAAGCAGGCGTGGCTCGTCTTTCTTGGCTTGGGCTCTATGGTCAGAGGTTGGAAGATGCCACCTCGTGATTTAAAAGGAAGGTTCACACAACCTAAATGCATCAATGTTCTCATTGCTCCTACCACAGAACAGTGCCAAGGATGGGAGGAGTTTGATCATAATCACTGGTTTCACAAAATTGTGTGCATCCTCTTGGTGATATAGTGACATGTGACTCCGTGACGTATCTTCATGAGTTGTGCAGATATTCGCTATCTAGAGGCTGTACAAGGGTGCAGTGTTATGGATTTTCTTATATAAATAACAAATATGCTCGGCCTTCTTGTAGTGTCACTATTATCTTGTGCATGTGACCACATCACATATGTGGATGCTTCGGTGTCTTCATTCTGTCTCATATTAGTGTGAAGAAGCTGTAATCAAGCATCAGTCTTTTGAGAAGGATACTTAGTCTACAACTACAGGCCTTTGTGGGTCAGTGTGTGCTCCAGTGTGGGCAAGTTCAATATAAGTGAAAAATAAAGTGAAGAAACTTAGAGTCAACTTTTTCCAGCATAACATAATGGAAATATTGACCTGATGGTTCACATGGGCTTATAAGTATTGTTCAGTAGCACTACTAAGGACTATGCACTATGATTGTTTTGCTTTTGAAATGTCAACGGTCATGTTATGGTTGCCAGTCCACATTTCATTCATTTGCACATTATCATGTACAACTTTTTTTCTATTCAGGCTCAAACTCGCAAAGTTGTCATGTGTATCATCTCCAATCAGAATAATGGAGCAATTGCACAATTAGTGCCAGCCTGCTGAAAAATGACACCAAGTCTGCAAAAAAAATTAAAAAAAAACAAACAAGAAGCTTCTCTTCATCGAAGTCAACGTTACTGGATGGGGACAGCTGAAAAACTTGCATGAGAAGGTGGCCTCAAATTGTCGTCCATTCCAGGTGTCGCTGGCATCACTTATAGCGACCACGTCATGTGCCCTTTCCGCCGCGCAGTCAACATCATGTGCAGCAGAGGAAGCAGCGATGTGGCTGTCTTGATGTGCAATTGCAGACAATTTTTTTTTTTCCTGCTAATAAAAATGAATCGGGAAGTAGCCTAAATACTGAAAAAAAGGCGTGGCTCCTTCTTTCATAACAGACCTTGCACATTCAATTTTATTCATGCCAGAGCAGCAAAAATGTTTATGCGGTTTCGCTTTCTGGAGAGAAAGTCGATGGTGACTTCAAACAAACAATTGTTCGTGGTAGATTTCTGCTTCCCTGTTGGAGAATGATCGCCATGACGAGGTGTGCTGTGCCAGGCTGTCGAAATGGATACGCATCGGCATTGTAAACAAAGTGCCCTTCATGCAGCGACACTTATTAAAGAAACTGAAAAACCTGAATGTGGTGATTAAGAAGAACAGTGCAATAGGACAAGCAAACCTCAAAGTTGCATAAAGAACATATACCTGTGATCCTCACTTTGATGCAATGGACATTTCCACCACCTTTCAGCAAAGTGTCAATTGCTAAACAGTCTCATTTGCTGAGCATAGTAAAGGCTAAAAAAAGACGAGGCGCCTTGGCACTTTGCGAGCAGCATTGATAATGAATGGACACTTAGTGTAGCTCAAGGTGGCTCAAATGCAGCAAGCATACTAGTGACAGAAGGTACCATTAGCTCATTTTTTCAGAGTGAAAGTGAGGCGTGCACGGAAGTGTTCAATAACACTGAGACAGAGCCACCTGAAATGTTCGAAGCATCTCACCCTCAGCGAAAGCTCCACCGGTGAACACTAGTTTGGTGGCATCAAACACTTATTAATGTCTGGGGCATGGTGTGTGAAACACTTGAACATGTTTTTGTTTTTTTAATGTTTCTTGAAATTTTGAAGAAAATGATGTAGTTTCTGATGAAAAAAGCTGTCCTAATAAACAAAAATTTGACTGTGACTGTGGTTATCTGTGCTGAAGGAAACTTCTTGCTGATATGCTCTTTCGCTATTCATGAAAGTACACCAAGAAGCAGCCGTTCAGCTTTACCACTGTCAACCATCCAGTGCCCTTTCTTCATCTCATTGAGAGAGTCTTTACTGGTTTTTATTCTCATTTTTGCCCATTATTATCAACTCTAAGGAAGGGTGTCAAGTCTAGGGAGATCTATAGAAGCAAGCAGTGTGCAAGACTGTTGGAAAAAGTCAAACATCTTTAGACTACACACCACGGACCTACGCAGTAATTTACCAAGGAAATGTTATCTTAAAAAACTAAGGACCTTGAAAAAATGTTTTTCATGCCATTTGTTTTTGGACACTATTTCGCAGAAACATGTACAGACCTCAGTGAACTAGGTGCTCTAATCGGAATCCTTGGACATCAGCACAGCATCAAATGCCCTAGCAGGAGTTCCTCGTTGAACAGCGTCTTGTGTACCAGTGACATGCACGTGTACTTGTTTTTTGAAATTTGGGTATTCGAATGAATTCACTCAAACAGAAGTGCTCATGAGAGGACATTTCATTCCTTTATTTCTTTCTCCAAGCTTCCTAATGTTTTCTTGATAGTCAGCATCTCCAGTCATATTCGTTACGCTTGTTAGCTAAATTTTTTATGTGAAACATTTAAAATAGTTTATTTATTAGAAACTGCACACTTGGCACAAAACTTCTGTCTGGTAATGCGATGAGTGGTAAAACATATCAACAGCTACAAAAATGTCCTCCTATAATTAGTTTGTACCTCTTTTTTTTTCTGCTACACGTTGATGCACTGGGAACAAGAAAATAGTGACTTCGCTCGCAAACTACAAATGGCTGCGTTTTTCCCCTTGATGTGCTGCAGCACTAATGTTACATGAAATAAAAACCTGCAAGCTTTAAGGGGGAACACTGTACTTGACAGGAAATGCCAGATATTCATGTGTTCAAAAAGAAGAGTTTTTGATGCTGATTTCAAAAATGTAATAATTTTCCCCTAGACCAATTAGCTTTTTTAGACATCCTAAATCTAATTGCCTATTGTTTGCCGGTATGATGACACAAGCAATTTGTATTGAAGAGCTACTATTGGCACATGCCTGTATACTCATCAACATAAGCCACATAACAGTACGAGTGCTTTTTTTCATTTGATGATTTTAGCAAAGTTTGTCCTACTTTGCATTTCATTGTTGCAGATGCACCCACTTTGTGCTTCGATTTCCGGCGAAACTAAAATTTTTGAAGATCTCAATCGAAAATTCACACCTGCCATTGTTTATACTAAAGATATAGCTACATGTCATAATGAAAATGGCAGTTTTAGCTGCTCTAGAAGCAGAGATATTTTTAGACACATTTTCAACTGCAGCAAAATTTGAATACTGAGAAATTATGCAAGACTAGAAGTCCATTTTGGGTAGACAGTAGCATGAAAATGTTGTTTATTTAATATAATTAACAAATTCAGCTTTCTCAGTAGGCATCAGGCATGTAGTTCTTCTGTTTTGCGTCACCTAAATGGTGTTTTTAAAATGCCTGCTGCATGTATCCCGAAAAGGCATGCTTGTGGGCTGGTGCGGTCGATCTGCGGGGGTCTTTTTCTGCCATGCCTTTTTCGCTGAGAGTCCAGGATTGACGTGCAGCTCCTTCAAAGTTGATGCTGAGGTTGTTTCATTTCCAGTATTGAATTTCAACACAGCTTCAGCCACAGCTGCTTGTGACAGAAAACAGTGACGAATGGCGCTCTTAAGCTGAGTGCGCCCAAACAATGAAATGGAGGCTCTCGTTGGTGCTCTGCATTTTCTCCCGCTGGCACCGTTCAAGCAGCCTGTCATCGGTTAAGCGTTTGTAGATGAGCAAAAGGGCCTTGAAGACATGAGGTGGCAAGTTGTAGCCATGCTTGGGGATGAGCTCGCTTTTTGCTGTGGCTGCATTTTGGTGACATTAAGAATGTTTGCCTTATGGGCACAAACTGTGGTTAGACACTTCGTCATTAGAAATGACAGATAGGTAACAATTGCCATGACAGCTTGCATGGACTTCGCATCACCTTTAGTAGCTAGGCTTCAGCGCCCAGTCATAATAAGAAGTGAGCTTGGTAACCAAGTCACCAGTCAGTTTTCCCTGGCCACTAAGGCTCTCAGTTCCAGCCCCCTTTTTCTTAGCAATGAGATTATGCAATGCTGGGCCCATTCATTTTTCAGCATGGTTGACACAGTCTTCCTCGTTGATTGGAATATATATCCATACACTTCGGCTTCCTGTAGTACAAGCAAAGTGTGGCTGTCACCATCTGAAAGTATTGTACACCTTAGATTGTGTTTTTCTAATGATTTCCGAAAAAGCATGTCAGTCCAGCTACCACTTTCGTAGATTTTTTGCTGGAGTTATTTTAACATATATGGCTTTCCTTCCATTACTGGTACTTTGAATTCTCTTTTTTCAGTCCCCGTTCTCACGCAGTGCAAAAATTACTTAGTACCCCATAGTCAAAGAATAAACCAATGAAAAGTTATATAACAGCGTCAACACAGATATGGGATGAGCGTCCACACGTCATCCGTGAAGCATCGTAGGGAACGGCAATGTTTCTTCGGTCACCGAGCTTCAGTTCGGTGTAAATATTGCGAAAAGCTAGCGCGCTTTCTGATATGCATTTATCAGCTGCTGCAGTCGCGGCGAGTGTCATCTTCGACTTCAGATGTGCCTGCCATGTTTTGGTATGCAAGCTGCGGGAAAACACATTCATTGTCGCGAATGTCATTTAATGCAGTCTGCTGATTGTCACTGCTTTTCATAGCACGCACAGCAAGAATGTTCACGAGGAAGAGGTTGCACGATTTTCCGTCGTTCATGCGCGGCGAACTCCATACGGGCAGGTTATCACCGCAGATCTCGCACGACGTAAAATGGCGACGCCATATAGACGCCAGACTCTGCAGTTTTGCGGACATGCAGCGCCATCTGTCGATGCAGTTTTGAGTAGTGCAAAGCCCGACTTCCTTGCACAGTTTGTTGCGCAACCAAGTGCAACTACATACAGCGCATGAAACAATGATTGAGCAAAATATTAGATGTATTTGCGCATTGAACACTCAGAAAAAGAGCTACAAATTTCCCTCTGCAAGTCGGACGCGTCGCCGAACAGCCGTGAAAGGCTTGCTTGTTCACTCACCTGAACAGCGGTGAAAACAAGAGCAGACGCAACAGCTTTGCGCTCTATGAAAAAAGACCCCGTTTTGCGCTCCTGTTGCGTTGTGAATTGCCATAGACGTAAATGACATTTACCCATATAGCCGCTCACAACGGACTTCACTTGGCTTGAAGCTTTTTTCGACGGTTCTGGTTGTGGAGCTTCTCACTAGCTTGCTAGAAAGTTTATGGTGGTTACAGCTGTAGTAACAGTATGTTGTGTTTTTTTTTTTCTTTGTGGTGGGTGTTCTTTTTGACCATGAGCAGCTGTGTGCAATAGCGAGAACTTGCAATGCAATAGCGAGAAGTTATTGCTGGGAGTATTGTCTAGCTTAAATCACCGACCCCCAAACGTATTTTCTCAAGTTGGTCAGCATTGCCGCAACTCAGTCGTGTTTTGTGGCGAAGTGCACACAGTGTATTGAGGTAAAGCATGCACATGCATGTGTGTGTGCAAAATGAAAATGTAGCGCTGTCATTAGTCCTTGTGTGTGTGCCTTAATTATACACGCACCGTCTCCTGTCTCATTATTGGCAATATGATGGACAGCTTCGCCACTGACGTCAGCCTTTGTAACAAGTCCATATCAATTTACCCTGAAAAAACATTTTGCGACAAGCAGTTTGCAAAGAAATGAATTTCTAGTTTATTGCAAAATTGATTCAAGATTGTGGCATGGTATCTCCCAAAAATAGCTAAATGCCTAAGCTGACTCCAGTGGTACTCTACATTTCCTGCCGTCGCATATATGCTCCAAATAGAAAATGATTATTAAGCAAATATGCACTCGAGCTAAGTATGTGAGATGACCATCCATGTTTCATAACCATTATTTAAAAAGTAGTAACTCGTGGTTCACCTTATGAAGTTCTTTCCAGTAATCAAAGAAAATACCCACTGAATAATGGTAGAAAATTATACGTGCAGTTTGTCAATCAAGCAATAAACTGACCTTAAATTGATTTCGGAGAACCACAACTAAGCAAGATGGTTTCAGCAAAGTCACGGTAACCCGAATTGATAGCACATGTTCAAGCATCTTACAGGGGCTGCTTGTTAATTAGATGGGGTGGTAATTAGGCAACTGCCTGTCATCAGGTGTCGAGATGCATTGCATTCCCGGTCATCAAGTCTCAAAAAGATGCTATAAAGTTGCCAAGCTCAAACATTATTGGCGGGATGAGCACTTATTAAAGCCAGTGCTTATTGAAGCCTCTATTTAATGAAGTTAGCCCTAAGACCAGCAGATATCTTTAATGAGCTGGTCACTTTTCATAACAGATCTCATAGGTAAATAATTATTGAGTTTGCAGCAAGCTATGAATGAGGTAGGATTTTGCGAGTGGCAGGATTAGCAGTTTCTTTTTGGAAGCACCATATATTTTTAAATTCACAAGACTTCACTGAAGCATTTACATGATATTCAAGCAGTGATATTCTGATTTTCAGTAGTTTTAGTCCAAATAAAGGTAAACTGATTGGCATCTTCAGCCTGTAATCTTACAGGAGCTTTAGCATATGCCTTGTTGTCATTTTGTGTCAACGATGCCACATACATTGCAATAGTTTAATAGAGCTTATTGGCAAGATGGCGCAGCTTGAGAGAGGGAGTAAATGGCACAAGTGACTCACATAAAACAATGAACATGGGACATATGTTATTTCCATTAATATTTATTTGTGGCTTTGCCAGCAGGTATATAAGTAAACAGACACATGCACAATATGGCAAGAGCTATGCAATGTCACAGTCATTTAACATTAAAAACATTAATAAACCA